ACTGTGTCCTCACGGCGGCAGCCAGCACTGCCCGCACAACTTCTGAGAGAGCAACGGCGCAGCATTTGCCTGTGGGTTGCAGTTAAGGGCTCTGCCTGGGGCGAGGGCGAGTAGGCCCCTGGTACAAGTTGGGGGGGGCTACAGCCCCACAGACCCCATAAATAGCGCCCCCGAGACACCTTTCACCACAGTGCCAAAATCCCTAACCCCCGCACCGGCTCCAACGGTCCTATCGTAGGAAAGGAGCAGACTTACCTGGTGCTGCCAGGCCCTTGGGGGCAGGGCTGGCGTAGGGATGTGGGGAGCTCAGGACAGGAGGCGTGTATGAGAGTGGGGTTGGGGAGTAATGGGGGGCTCAGGGCAGGGGGTGGCTGCTGGCTTCTTCCAGGGGCAGCCCAGGGCAGTAGGGACTGGGCATCCCACTTGCCAGCTTGTCCCTGGAGGCCAGTGGGGGCTCTCTCCCTCCCCCCAACCCAGCTCAGGATTGGGGGCTCTCTCCCGGAGCAGGGGGAGTCTTTCTCTTTCCTCCCCCTGGCCCAGCCCGGGATGGGGGACACTTTTCCCCTCCCCGGCTGCTCCTGGGACGGGGCAGCCATCGAGGGCTGTCTCTCGGGTAGGGGTCCCCACTTCCCTTTCCTGGTGGCAGGCAAGATGGCCGAGCCCCAGCCCTGTGGCACGGCCTGGGTGGTGCGTCTGCCCCAGGGGATGCCCTGCCGGATGGCGCTCCCCTGCAGGCTCGCTGCCCCCAGTGGCCACTCTCCTGTCGCGTCCTCGGAACAGCAGCTCCTCCCTTTGCAGGTTACGGGAAACTGTCCTTTCCCGGGCCCTCCGGCTGTCCTGGCGCAGCCAAACCCCGATCTTGCTTTAAGTCGGGATAAGAGGACGCCACGTGCTGAATTTGGAGGCCCAAGCTCTCACTGCTTAGGAGGAGTGCTTGGTCAAACGGACTCACAGACAGACACACATTCACATAGAGATGCACGAGCAGCAAAGGAAATGCTTACGGGCGGGGGGTACGGGGGGGGGATTGCAAAAGTGCTCGAGTGCCAGGATGATTCCACACTCCTGTTCGGTTGTGCCCTTCCCTGTTAGGTCTTAAGGGCTTTTGGAGACCCCCCCCCCCCGTTCGTAATTTGGGCCACGTCCATGGTGTTTTACAAACGTCCAAATACGGGTCATGGTCATTAATCAGCAGCCCTGAGCTCAGTTCCGCGGGCCCTACCCCCCTTCCCCGAACTGGCATTAGCCCCGTCACTGGCTTCGCTCTCAGGAGCCGCTTCCCATTTCCATTCCGATTCTTGCACCAAAGTGCACGTGGCACAGTGGCCTTTCTAGGCGTGCCGGAGACAGAAGCTGCGCTTAGATCAGGGGGTTTCACGCTTGGGGGCGGGGCTTGTAGCTGTCCGCGAGGCGCTTTGTTTACCTCGGCGTCTGCAAGCATGGCCGCTCGCAGCTCCCCGTGGCCACTGCCTGCAGCTCCCATTGGCCAGGAATGGCGACGCACAGCCAATGGGAGCGACCAGTGGCCGTACCTATGGACACTCAGGTAAACAAAGCATCTCGTGACCAGCTAGCGGCTTCCTCTTACAAGCCCTGATCCAAGGTCTGAAAGCCCCTGGCGTAAATTATGATGTTAACATGTGGCAAAAGTAAACAGCATTCTGTAATAATGGCCTTTGGGAGAACTCTCAAGAGCGATAAATTACTGCGCCCTGCCTCTCCACGGGCCTCAATTCTTGTTCCTCCGCACCACTTTGTGCTCTCCCATTACTATATTTGGTAGAGTAATTTGGAGGGGAGACAGAGCAGCCAAAAGTCTTGGCTTAGCAACCACAGGAAAATAATGCCTGGTCACAGCTACCAGGCCCCTTGGTCTCTGAGACCATGCCCCTCCCCGGCCTCACGCTGTCCCCTCCCCAGGGGTGAAATCATGCGACGCGCAGGACTGAACTCTCTCCTCCGGGACCTACCTCAGCAGGCCCGATATCGGTGCAGTACCCGCAGTCTGGCCCCTCCTGAAAGCCAAGCGTATTTATCAGCACAACAGCACGCAGAGGAGACAGACCTAGCATGCTGGTCTCCACGGAGCGTCCCCGTTCCTGAGGCCAGCCTCATACACCCAGCTTCTTCACAGTTCCTCTGCCCTGCCTGTTCCTCCAAACACCCCCCTGCCCCGTCTCCCAAAAGGGGCTTTTTAACTGGGACCTGTCTTTCATATGGGACCTGTTCCAAATCCCTCATGACCTAACCTCTGTCAGAGGTGGGATGTAGGATCCTCAGAGCTAAAAAACTTTCCTTGCTGTCTTTCAAGTGTGCGCTGGAGTGTTCTTAAACCTGCGTTGCCTCCCTGCTCGTTGAGACCAGACAGCACAACCTGCTGTAACTACAGAGCAACTTTGCTTCATGAAGCAGGTCTCACAGTGTTCATAGACTAGCTCCCCACCTCTACGCTTAGATTACATAGCCGCCCCACATGCTGGCTCGCAAGCAGGGGAGTGAGTCAAGCTAGGTGTATGGAAAGGCATGTCAGCAGATGCCTTATGTTCTGCAGTAACTGAAAATCAAACACATTAGGATCTTGCACTCACATTTAACTGACTCTACAGGACAGGTTTGCCGGGGGGGAAGTCGGCACCCAAGGGGAGACAGAAAAAGGTGCACACTTCATCTCGCTATGGAAAAGCACCACGTACTAGTAAAGGGAAAATCAATATTGTATTTTATGCTCCTCGACGACAAGGTTAAAACCCAGCGTGCCTACAAAGTCTGAAATAACATTCTCCCAGGGACTGATCCCTTGCAGCTCCCGCTGACTCCAGATAAAGTGACTTGCCCGGAGCAGGCTGGCATCTGGCCCGATACCGTAGCTAGCCTGTGGTTCTCTAGCACACCCCTGGAATGGTTGAGCTCATAACACTGCAAAGAATTGTTAAGTAAATTAATAAGCCAGTGCTGGTCAGATTATGGTTCATTAAAAAAAAAACCCACCAACCAACCAATCAAGATTTTGAACGTGAGCTACGGGGAATGTGACCTTTTGAAGCCGAGAGACTAAGTGACATACAGTAGGGTCTTAGTTTTCTACTTACTGTGTCTTCGAAGGAAAAGTCCCCGCAGCACAGATAAGGTCTCCGATGGAAGGAAAGGACACGGAAACGCGGTTCTGAGTTAGGTTCAGATTTTGTCACGGTTAAGTTTAGTAAAAGTCACAGACATCAACCAAAATTCACCAGGACCATGACCTGTCTGTGACTGTTACTAAAAATAACGCGGGGAAGGGGGAAGAGCCCTCCTGCAAGGAGGGTGGGTGTGGAAACAGCCCCGTCTTTGGCCACAAGGGGGTGCATGGCCCCTGCCCCAGGGCGCACAGTCTCAGCTCCAGCTATAGAACCCTCGGGTGGGCAGAGATCTCAGGAGTCATCGGGTCCAGCTCCCTGCCTGAAGCAGGACCAATCCCAACTCAATCAGCCCAGCCAGGGCTTGGTCAAGCCAGAACCTAAAAACCTCCCTAGGTAACCCATCCCAGCGCTTCCCCCCCTTCCTAGGGAAATAGTTTTTCCTAATATCCAACCTAGATCACCCCCACTGCAACTGGAGACCATTGCTCCTTGTTCTGCCATTTGCCCCCACTGAGAACAGCCTCTCTCCAGCCTCTTTGGAACCCCCCTTCAGGAAGTTGCAGGCTGCTCTCAATTCCCCCCTCGCTCTTCTCTTCTGCAGACTGAACAAGCCCGAATCCCTCCGGCCAGAACTGGACGCAATACTCCAGATGTGGCCTCACCAGTGCTGAATAAAAGAGAATAATCTCTTCCCTAGAGCTGCTGGCAATGCTGACAGCTGAAGCCAAAGAAGTCACAGGGGTCTAGTAAAATCATGGAATCTGTTCCTTCCATGACGTCCGTGAGTAAATCGTCTCCTTCGTTATGAGTAAGCATTAACTAACTGCTCGTCTGTCGCTCTGTGCTTTTCAAATACCCTACACTCTGGGGGAAATGCCTCTACATGGAAGTTACTGCTCTATAAAACAGGATGTAGAATTTAAAGGAGAGTAATTCCGCAATAACTCTGCATGGACTTGCTTAACCCAGGTCAAAAATTTTTATTTATTTTTTTTGGTTTATCGTCATGCACTGCCAAAGCGGCTGAAGCTAATTCTAAAAAAGGTAAGGTACATCATAAGTCTTGTCATTTAAAGAGGTAGGGAGCAGTGCGCTTTTACAGAAACCCTACATGGCATTTTCTAAAAGTTTGCGGCACATTTTGACATTTTGTACAAGGAGAAAGTGCAGGTCTGCTACCCTAGCAAGTGGGTAGAATGCACCAGCTGTAACGTGAATGAAAAGGGTCTGCACTGCCACCTAACGCTAGTGTCAAGGAGTGACTCATTTCATCTCAAATCAATGTCAAAGAGACGGGAAGGAGCGTTTACATGGTTAGAGTCCTTCAGGAGGATCAGGTTACAGTATTTCAAGCTGTACAGGATGGTGTTGCCACATGTGCACAGAGATTCTCTCTCTCGACTTCTTATAAAGGATGCTCATTTTATGTATCAATTTCTTTCTAACCTGCAATACCCACGGTCCGTCGCTTTTGTTATCAGACAAGTTCTAGCTGCTACATTTAAACTAGTCTCTGACCCGTGATTTAAGTCACTGCTAACTTTTGGAAATGTTTCCTTCGCTATCTTTTAAGAATGTGGCTGAATTCCCAACAGTGAAGCTGATGATCCTCACTGTGCCATACTCACTGTCATGTGCAACGTAGCCAACGAGGACAAATCTAATCTTGCAACATTGCTGTGGCCAATTAGGGTTTTTGTTCCTCAGTCCCTAAGCAGTCTGATTTTTCTGGTTGAAATTTGTGAGGGTCCAGTTGTGGATCACGTGTCTGTAGTTTTCTGGTTACTGAAGTGCAAGCATCAGGCAGAAGCTGTATTTTCCTATTTTTAATTCCCCCCCTCCATCTCATCCCTATTGTGTGCTTGCTTTTTGTGCCTACATAAGAAACATGATCAGACTTTAGCAAGTTCCTAGTAACCAAACACGAAACCCAAATTACTGCAAATATGGGGCAGTAATAAAAAACAAAACAAAACAAGGTTTAAATGTCTTACAGCCAGCTTGATTTTCTCAACAATACTACATACATATGTAAGTTTGAAGAAATCTGTAGGATATTCTCTGTTTTGTATTCCTCCGGGTCATCTTTTACTTATTTTCTCTCTAAACTGAACAGCCCCCCATTTTTTCAGTCTCTTGATTTACACATTCATTAAAATACAAGGAGCAATTCAAATTGAAAGGCAACAATTATTAAAACATATTTTTATTGATGCTTTTAAGAAAAATACAATCAAGTAGTTGTAATAAAGGAAAACAAAATGTTAGAAGATTCTCACCATTACAAGAGCTGAAAAAAAAATCCCAACCTTGTAAAGAAATCTACTAAAAATGGCATATGGACAAAAAGTAAAAAACAGCAATTCAAGTGTACTCACATTACATCATGGTATGTACAGTAATAGACAGAAGAAATTCATTCACCAGGAAGTGTCTCAACTATTCATTGTCAGGAAACAAATTATTCACAACCTCCTCATCAGGACCTATATTTATCTCATCATTAAAAAAACGTTATTTTTGGCCTAGCATTACCCCATTGCTTAAAAAAAAAACAAATATTTTTTTCTCTTTAATAAGCTTCAATTTTGCCAGAAACTCCACATAAGCGAATTCAAAAGAATTTGTGGCAAAGTGCCAATAATTGTCTTCCTTGATTGGTAAGAAAAAATTCAACCTTTACAGAAAAGCTTTCTATTGTCCTCCCTTATAATTTTGTCTTCCATTCCTGATCGCGCAGTGATGCCAGAACTAATACCGTTCGAGTTGAGGTAGATCATTTTAACTGTGGGAAGATGTGTGAAGTACATGGAATATCTTTAGGTTATATACAGTGTATTTTGGGGAGAATGAGTGAAATTTGGAAAGGGATTTTAACAGACAGGGTAGTCTCTGGAACCGCCTAATTTTGTTAGCGGATTTCATACTGGTTTCCGAAGGTGGCATGTTTTGCTGCATCTTGTATTAAAATCCCTGAGACAGCATATCCTCATTTTGGGTCCTGATAAATGTATGAATAGGATGGTATGAAAGCGTAGCCTAGGATAGTAGGGGAGATCAGGAGTTACTGATCGATGAGGTCCCTTCCAGTCCTAATGTCTGCCAATGAAGCTTTTAAGGTGGCTACTTCCAATTTATGTCAAGCTGTTTCTTAGCAGCTAACTGGACTGCACAACTGTGATGTGGTGGGGGCTGCTCTGTAACCCGGGGTTCCCCTACGCTGTGATGTGTGATTTCCACTGACTCACCCAGTCCCAGCCGAGCAGATAACAAGGCGCTTCCCAGAGGGAGAGACAAAGGGAGGGAGGTGGGGATGGCCACCTGGCTGGGGGACAGGGCCTGGGAGCTGGATCGTTTTTGGCTGAGATGACATGAAGAGAGGAAACTAAGGTGAGTGCTGGGAGCTCGGAGGGGGAGGGGGGGGCTACCCCAAGGAGTCTGAGGCTGCCTGGCCCTGACTCCTGTAGCCACATCACGTCTGTGCTGGGCTGTATCCTGGAGAAGCAATAACCCTCTATTCTACTGGCTGGCAGAGTCTCATCTTGCTGCTACGGGGGTGTAAGATCGGAGCGGGGGGGGGGTCCCCAACACACCCTCACAACATCATAGCAGAAGCTGCCAAAGGAATTGAGAGGAGATAGACAATCCCAGCCTACCACCTCAGGCCAGCGGAGGTTGGTTTTCTGTAGTTCTTTCTGCTTACCTTGAGGCGGAATTATACTGGCGGGGGAGTAACCCTTCGAGGCGAAGGTAAGAATTCATAGCAGGAAAGCCAGCAACAACAACCTCAAACGTAGCTAAGGAGAATATTATGAACTATCAACTTATGATCACTACAGTGACCTTCTGACCTTAAAGCTGATGATGTACTAAAGATAAATATCATCAGAGAGGGGGGTGAAATAAAGTCAGCCCTTGCTTCTTGAAATAGCTTTCAAATTCTCAGAGGAGACCGCCAAGGACAGGGGCAAGACTCACTCCTAAGCAGTGGGCTTCCACCATCTCACCAGCATGGGAGGTTATGCGGGAGAGACGGAGAGAACTAGACCCAGAAGCCGGGACTGTGAAGAAATTGAGAAACAGCGATTGAGAAACAGAGAAACAAAAGCTGTTTTAAAAACTCTGTCCAAAAAAAAAAAAAAAAAATGTAGCGGCCCAGAGCTTTGTAGAATTCAAAAAGGATTAAACACCTGGGTGATTAGTGAGAACAGCCACTGTTATGGGAGGAAACTTGTGCATAAACATATGTTTTAAAGCAGGGATCTAAGCCTTCCTCCTAGGTTTAGGCAGCCACTGACTGGGGTATTAGACAGGCTGTTGTTCCAAAAATACACTTGAAGATTTATTGCACCTTTCTCTCAAGCATCTGGAATTGGCCACTGTTAGAGAAACAATGCTGGACTGGAGGGGTCACCCAGTCTCTTGGCGGCTCCTATCTTTCCGCAGGGATAAACTGTAAACAAACTGTTGTTTTACTTCTCACCACGCTGGGCAAGGTGCTTCTCAGAAGAGCCAGTTCCTGCTCCAAACAGCTAACCGTTTACATGGGAGGCCTGAGCAGAAGGAGGAGGACAAGCCGTCGGAAAGGCTGAGCTGACAGCACTGTCAGTCACGTGGCTTATGTACATCGGGTTGGCTCTGGGGAGCGGTTTTGGCAGAGACGGAAGGTAGCAAAGGTCAGCGGCTTATCTTGTGTCACCAGGCAGGTGAGTGCTCAGCGGGGACGCGCCGAAATGGAATGTGGGCGTCTGCCTTGCAGACCAGTCATGGCTGATATTCAGAAGTCTTCTGAGGTAAACAAACAGCAACAAAAGAAGTCTCGCTCACAAGGCTTTCACTTGCAAAGCGTGTCTTTCTCGTTCCTCCTCTGCAGATGAGACGCTCTCGAGAGTCTCTATACAAACTAACGAGAGGATTTCCTCTTCCTTAGCTGGTTTACAGGCATTGAGAAAGTCATCTCCCGGAAACCCCTGAAAGAGAACACAAGGCTTTATTTCGCAGAACCTCGTCCGGGTGTGCAGGCTCACTCCGACAGTCAGTTCTACAAGGTATGCAGCATACAGTTCAGAGGGGGCAGCAGAGTCACCTTGGGACTTTCGAAGGGGTATGTGGGAGCAATCACTCTGGTAGGAAGGGAACCGCTCCTCCTGGAAAAGCGACGGGGCTGCCGATGGCACCAAAGATTGGCCAGAGGCGGAGGAGAGCTCTCACTGCTGTAGTGGCCTTTTAAGTGACAAAACACTCTACAGGCGATCCTGGCAATTACAGGCCAGTAAGACTAACGTCAGCACCGGGCAAATTAGTCGAAACTATAGTAAAGAATAAAATTGTCAGACACGTGGATGAACATAATTTGTTGGGGGGGGGGGGGAAATCAACATGGATTCTGTAAAGGGAAATCCTGCCTGACTCATCTGCTAGAGTTTCTCTGAGGTCAACAAACATGTGGACAAGGGGGATCCAGTGGATATAGTGTACTTAGATTTCCAGAAAGCCTTTGACAAAGTCCCTCACCAAAGGCTCTGAAGTAAGTTGTCATGGGATAAGAGGGAAGGTCCTTTCGTGGACTGATAACTGGCTAAAAGTCAGGAAATAAAGGGTAGGAATAAATGGTCAGTTTTCAGAGTGGAGAAAGGTACCTACTAGGGTCCCCCAAGGGTCCGTACTGGGACCAATCCTATTCAATTTATAAATGATCTGGAGAAAGGGATAAACAGTAAGGTGGCAAAATTGCAAGATGATACCAAACAGTTCAAGATAGTTAAGACCAAAGTAGACTGTGAAGAGCTTCAAACAATCTCACCAAACTAAGTGATTGGGCAACAAAATGGTAAATGAAATTTAATGTTGATAAATTTAAAGTAATGCACATTGGAAAAAATAATCCCAACTATATAACTGAGGACATACAACTCTTGGTTTTAGACTGTACTTGTTTTTGTATAATTCTCATTGTACTGAGCACTTGGTCTATGTATACTGTAAAATTCTCTTTACATAATCTACAAGAATTGTAAAGGCGAAATATTAATACAGAAGATGAGAATGTAGAGACTTCTTCTAATTTGGAGAGACCACTTGATAGCTAGCGGGCAGATACTAACCTGGAGGTCCTCGGTTTGCTCTCCAAACATACGTTTAATGATTTTTCTAGGGTCAGGAATTTGTGGGTAAATTAGTATCTTGAGCCTTAGAACAGAGAAATAAAAGCTTTGGATGAAAACAACTGATTAACCAAAGGAACAACATTTCAAAGCTGAATTTCACTAGAGCATTGTAAATACAACTGGACTCCGTCTTCTCTGGCCATCTTTCATCCTCCCATGTGATGCCCTATTCTCCCTAGTCCACCTTCGTGTCCCACTTTCATTCCCAGCAATGCATGGGAAAGGAGTTTTACATACAAGCCAACGTTTTGTCTTTGGATAGCACTGAGCAACTTCCACTAAAATCAATGGGAGCTGCAAGTGCAGACCAGAGGGAAGAGAATGGCCCATAATATTGAATGTAGGCACTCTACTTTGCATTGGGACTTCATCTACCGCTAATGCATCTGCAGCCACAGAGAGGAACTGCCTTTTCTGAGGCAGAGAAGCTACACGGACTTATTTGTTCCATACAAAAACCTCAACTCATACTCAACTCTAGAGCTCCGACTGACCTCTCCAGGGCTCAACAAATAATGCAATCTACTCGCCCCGTGGCGAGTAGATTGCAACCCAGAAGAGCCGGGTTCAGGCAATCTGTGCATGCGCAGCTCGCCGGACAGCACAGCTGGCGAGCGGGGCTCACCGCGGTTCGGCGAGCCCTGGACATCTCCATATTAATACGGCATGCAGAAGTATAAAGGGAAAATAGCCACTGTCAAAAGCATATATATGGCATATGAAAGGTCAACTTAAGCAAAGGAGCACTGCAATGTAGCTCTAAAGGTAAGTCAGTACTTAACAGATTTTACGATAAAAGCAACATGGATATTTACCTTTTCAGGTACACCAGTAGAATTATAATAGCTAATGCAACTGTTAATGGAATAGCGAGCATTAAAACGATATATATTGTGAAGTCCGTGTTTTCACCTGGAAAAAACAAACAAAAACACAAAGAATGCAGAGCTGGAAATGCTTCAGGAATAAGGAGAAGAAAAGGTTACTTACCTTGTAACTGTTGTTCTTCGAGATGTGTTGCTCATGTCCATTCCAAACAGGTGTGTATGCGCCACGTGCACGGAATTCCGGAGCCTTTTCCCTAGCATCAGAGGGGTAGCCGTGTTAGTCTGGATCTGCAAAAGCGACAAGGAGTCCTGTGGCACCTTACAGGCTTAAACAGATTGACTGGAGCATAAGTTTTCGTGCGCAAAGACCCACTTCGTGAGATGCATGCAGTGGAAATTTCCAGAGGAAGGTATAAATATGCAGGCCAGAATAAGGCTAGAGATAAGGAGGTTAATTCAGTCAGGAAGGGTGAGGCCCACTTCTAGCAGCTGATGTGAAGGTGTGAACACCAAGAGAGGAGAAACTGCTTTTGTACTTGGCTAGCCATTCAGTCTTTGTTTAATCCTAAACCGATGGTGTCAAATTTGCAGATGGGAAACTGCTGAGCTACAGTTCATCTGCAAATTTGACACCTTCAGTTTAGGAATAAACAAAGACTGTGAATGGCTAGCCAAGTGCAAAAGCAGTTTCTCCTCTCTTGGTGTTCACACCTCCACATCAGCGGTTAGAAGTGGGCCTCATCCTCCCTGACTGAATTAATCTCGTTATCTCTAGCCTTATTTTGGCCTGCATATTTATTCCTGCCTCTGGAAATTTCCACTACATGCATGTGACGAAATGGGTCTTTGCCCACAAAAGCTTATGCTCCAATACATCTGTTAGTCTATAAGGTGCCACAGGACTCCTTGTCGCTTTTCCCTAGCAGTATCCATAGGGCCAGCATGGGGAGCCCCCTGGAGTGGCACCGGCATATCGGTGCATATATACCCCTGCCGGCCCCTCATCCCCTCAGTTCCTTCTTGCCTAATGTCTCCGACGAAGGGGAGGTGGGTGGGATTGGAATGGACATGAGCAACACATCTCGAAGAACAACAGTTACAAGGTGAGTAACCTTGTCTTCTTCTTCGAGTGCTTGCTCGTGTCCATTCCAATCAGGCGATTCCCAAACCATATCCCTGGCGACGGGGTCAGAGAATAACAGTGTCTATTTGTCCACACATTGCAACACCGCCCTGCCCATCCTTGCTGCATCATCCTTGGCGTGCTGTGTAATCGCATAATGTTCTGAAAAGGTATGGACTGAGGACCATGTAGCTGCCCTACGTATCTCAACAATCGGCACCCGAGCCAAGAACGCCAGTGACGCCGCCCGTGCCCTTGTGGAGTGCGCCTCCTTACCCGCCCCTTGGTAGCATTCTCTAATACAGGAGGTAATCCCTGAGGATAGGCCCTGGGCTGAAATAGGGGATCTTTTCATTCTTTCCGCGATGAAAATAAAAAGCTATACCGATTTATGGAAGTCTTTTGTCCATTGAATGTAAAAAGCTATGGCCCTCCTCACATCAAGGCAGTGCAAATTCTGCTCTCTAGCTGACGAATGAGGCTTAGGGAAAAACACAGGAAGGAAAATGTCTTGGGATGTATGGAAGTGGGAAACTACTTTGGGAAGGAAGGCTGGGTGAGGTCGTAGTCAGACTTTATCTTTGAAAAGACCGTATATGGTGGCTCTGAGGTCAGCGCCCAAAGCTCTGATGCTCTTCTAGCCGAGGTTATTGCTACCAAGAACGCTACTTTCCACGAAAGATGCTTCAATGAACAAGTGGCTAGAGGCTCAAATGGTGGTCACATGAGCCCCTTAAGGACCACATTGAGGTCCCATGGCAGAACCGGGGGGCGTGTGTATGGTAATAGTCTGTCAATCCCCTTCAGAAACTTCTTTACCATGTGGTTGGTGAAAACTGACCTTCCGCCCTCAGCATGTGAAATGCCATGACTGCTGCGAGGTATACCCTCAGGGAGGAAGTAGCAAGGCCCTGATTCCTGAGGTATAATAGATAGTCCAAAATGAGCAGAATACTGGCCGTGGTTGGTTCGATTCCCCTTCTTAGCAACCATGCCGTGAATTTCCTCCATTTGGCTTCATATAAGGCCCTTGGAGATGGTTTCCTACTTTCCAGTAACACTTTCTGGACCTTCGCCAAACAATTTCGCTCTAGTGCAGAGAGCCACTCAGGCACCAAGCTGTGAGATGGAGGGCTGTCCGCCAAACCTCGCTCTAGTGCAGAGAGCCACTGGACCTCGCTCTAGTGCAGAGAGCCACTCGGGCACCAAGCTGTGAGATGGAGGGCTGTCAGGTTGGGATGGCATAAGGTTCCTTGCCCCAGATCTTGTGTGATCAGGTTCGGGACTAGAGGCAGGTGTACTGGTTCCTGTATTGACAACTCCCACAGGGTGGAGAACCAGTGTTGCCTCGGCCACATTGGTGCTATCATAATCACCTTTGCCTTGAATTGTCTGATTCTGAGGAGGGTGTCCTGTATCAGTGGAAAGGGTAGACTCATTGTCTCGAGCGCTACAGCTACTGTCACGGGCGGTAAGAAGGAACTGAGGGGGTGAGGGGCCAGCAGGGGTATATATGCCGGCGCCTCTCCAGGGGGATCCCCATGCTGGCCCTATGGATACTGCTAGGGAAAAGGCTCCGGAACTCTGTGCACGTGGCGCGCACACACCTGATTGGAATGGACATGAGCAAGCACTTGAAGAAGAACAATGTTTAATGCAAAACTTCTTTTTGAGGTACATGACAGATAAATATATTCAAATTACAAATTCATAAAAGCTTTTATAAGCAATGAAAATGACCACCAACTTCTCAAAACGTGAAAGATGAAATACAACAGCTACGAAAAGTCACATAGTAACTTCTCAAAACGTGACAGATGAAATACAACAGCTACGAAAAGTCACATAGTAAAGCTGACTGTCTTCCAGCAGATGATTAAGAGGGAACTTGGCCATAACTAGAAGTACGTATGCAGGAAGAAATCATGTGATAATTCTGGGGCCCTTTAACTGAGCAGACCAAAGCATAAGAGGGCTAATGGCTAGAAGCTGAAGTTAGAAAAAAAGTTCAGACTGGTTCACAGAAAGATTGCTCTTACCAATGCTCCTTTCCTCACTCCAGTCACCCAAGTGATAGCTGCTGTAACATTTATTTTGGACCTTTGCTCTCACTTTGACAGTGTACATAGTGTTAGGGTCAACATTCGGAATCTGCATGGCAGTGCTCTTGAGGACCTACAATTTAAAAAAGGATATTGACTTGTTTCCTTTATCAAGATGCATGACATGTACAAACGTGTCTTCATCGTGTAGCTTTAACAAGCAGTCTGAATGTGGTGACTGCTGCCCATTTCCCTTTTTTATTTTTGAACTCCATAAAATAAAGTGGTAAAAGATGAGACAACTAGATTTTCCCTGCCTTTAACAAAACAACTGTCCAAACTGCCGAGGGCTCGCGGCTCAAAGTGGCTGGCTCTAGTGTTTCTACCACACCAATTGGCATCCCTACCCCGCGTCCCTGTGAGAAGTGAAGTGGAGGCTGATATGCCTGAGAACAATCACGTGTATTCTGAGCGCAAAAGACCAGTTTCTCCAGGGAAGTTTGACAGAAACTGCAGTTTGGGCCCTTGTCTTATCTCTGCGGTTCTCCATTTTAATGGGCTCACCAGAGCTGGTGTTAGACTTGCTGGGGCCCAGAGCCAAAGCCCAAACCCTACTCCCCGGGTCATAGCCAAAGCCCAAGGATTTCAGCACTTGCAGCAAGTCTCAGGGTTTGACATAGGGCTGAAGCACTTGGGGTTTGGCTGGTCTCACCCCACCCAGGACACCAGGGTTCAGGCTTCAGTCCCGCCTCCGGGGACCATGTTTTTAGAAGGCAGGCATTGTGCAATGACATTTGGGAACCAAAACTCTTGCTCTCATTTTTCCTCTGGGAGAAATAAAGGGAGCACTGAACAATTTCATCTAGTGCCTTTTTTGGTATGTGGATCACTCAATCTTGTTTATACCATACTGTGTACACAGTCCTCAGGAGGACCGACTTTGCCAAGTTGTAAAACACTGAAACTAGCATGCAGCATGCTAAGCTGTTTCCTTACTGACTTAATGGCATACTTAATGGTTATTGACACAGACGTGCATAAGCAAGTACATATCTGCATACTGAAATATGTGCAGCTGTATTTGTGTCAGTACGTGATTACTTCCCCTTTTCCTTACCCTCAAATCTCCTTGCTTAGGACAGGCACTGACCCACAAATCAGCATGTTAACTGTCTTTGTGATAATCAAGCCTTGAAACCCGAGTACCCAAGGCAGCAGCAACAAGGATACATGAATATATGGCTCTGACAGGGAGACAGCATAATTACACGACCCTCCAGCGTGGTTCCAAAACGCTGTTACCTCACTCAAAAGGGGGCCCATTCTGCTGAGTACACTGTGTCCATAGCAACCCTTTGCTATTGTAAATGGGTAGCACAAACAAGAGATTCAGAAAACTGACTCGTTTCAATTAAGGACGTTAAAAAGCATTTCATACGGTAACTGTGTAGCTGCTAAAAATCTCAGCAGTTACATGGCTACCCGTGCTGCAGACTCTGTAGTATAAATCATGGCTTTATACTGCAGAGCCTATAGCAAAGCCTCTTCCCTGGGAACGGAGTGGGAAGCCCTTCCCTGCGGTAGGAGTTTCACTTGCTCTTATATGCCCAACTCCCAGCCACAGCAAAGCTGCTTTCCCGGGAGCTGGCTGAGTTTAACCAGCTCAGCGGTTAGTTGGTTAAACTCTAACAAACACCCTTGTTTCAATGCATGGTCACATTACAGAGCCCTATTTCATGACAGTTCTGTCCACATACGCAGTTTCAAGTCAGGTAATAATCCCACACATTTCTGCTCTGCATACAGTTATAGTTCTTAAATTGCAACCTTTGGCTACGTCTACACTGGCATGATTTTCCGGAAATGCTTTTAACGGAAAAGTTTTCTGTTAAAAGCATTTTCGGAAAAGAGCATCTAGATTGGCAGGACGCTTTTCCGCAAAAGCACTTTTTGTGGAGCCAATCTAGATGCGCTTTTCCACAAAAAAGCCCCGATCGCCATTTTTGCGATCGGGGCTTTTTTGCGGAAAACAAATCTCTGCTGTCTACACTGGCCCTTTTGTGCAAAAGTCTTTCTGAAAAAGACTTTTGCCTGAACGGGAGCAGCATAGTATTTGCGGAAAAGCACTGACAATCTTACATGAGATCGTCAGTGCTTTTCCAGAAATTCAAGCGGCCAGTGTAGACAGCTGGCAAGTTTTTCCGGAAAAGCGGCTGATTTTCCGGAAAAACTGGCCAGACTAGACACAGCCTTTGAGTTCCTATTCAGAGTTTGAAGAAGATACCATACATCCCCTGCCACGAAACCCCCAAACAAAACAAAAAAACCCACATGACACATTTCAGTTCCATTGTAACTAATGAATAAAAAAAAGTTACTTCAAAAGAATGATTGGTGTGTGATTTGCTGTCTTTCAGTTCTAGGTCGTAAGCCAAGCAATGTGGCGCAAAGGTGCCCGGCTTCTGCCATTTTACATGTAGTCCATATTTGCTCTTCAATACTGACACAATCCTTGGCGGGCCAGGTTTTACTGAAATAGAAAGAAATCCAAATTGTCAAACCGAGTTTATGTTGACATTTACAATATCATTAACATTATGTACGGACTTACAGAAAGTCACTGGAAGTACACAGCAGAATGCACACATACCAGTTAAGATGCTGGAAAGTGATGGAAGAGCTTGATGGATTCAGTATCAGAACAGGGTGACCAGATGTCCTGATTTTAGAGGGAAAGTCCTGATACAGGTTAAACCTCTCTAGTCCTGGACAATCTGGACCACGGATGTTGCTGGACCAGCACTGTCGTGGCCCTGCAGATGCTCCAGGTCTGAAGAACTCAAGGGGAAAAACTAGTGCAGCAGGACAAGGGATGTTGCTGGACCAGAGAGCCAGGGCAGCAGCTCAGAGCAGAGCCTGGAGTCCAGCGGTGGAGCCTGGTGCCCAGGGTAGGGGCTTAACCAGCTGGGAGGGGGGGCCTGTGGCAGTAGAGGGGCCGTCATTTACCCTCCTGGCCCACAAACTCCCTGGTTCAGGACCAAGCATGCCAGTCCAGAGAGGTCCCACCTGTATTTAGAGCTTGGTGCCTATTACCCCTCCCCCTGCCCTGATTTTCACACTTGCTATCAGGTTACACGAGACATATGAATTCCAAAATTAAGTCTCAGGAAACGTAAGTAGCAAATAAGATACAATCGTTGTAATCTTCTGCATCTTAGTCATTTCTTCTGGAGCATAGAGCAGAAGTTCTATGTAAATGGAAGCACTTGCTAATACAGGTTGAATATCTCTAGTTCAGCATCCAGGGGGTGTGACCGGTGCTGAGCCAGAGAATTTGCCGGACCACAGGAGGTCAATATTGTCTATCAGCATTACCAGCACTGCCACTGCTTGCTGGGCTCTGAGAAGACATTTAGGGGTAAAAATCAGAGCTAAAAAACAACACAGAACACTGAGAGCCAGGCCTGGTGGCTGGAAACAAACTTTATGGGACTACGGGAAACTTGGCCACACCCATGAGAAGTGGACATCTGGCAAATTCAAATCATGCTGGACCCCGGATGTTGCCGGACCGAAGCGTGCCGGAGTAGAGAGTCGTATGTCAATCATAAGTCCATCACTAAAACAATGCTCTCAATTTTGGGAAATGTTAATGTGACAATGAGAAGGCAATCTGCAAAATTGCGTAAGTTACACCACTTCTGCACTAGTCACTGGTATTTCAAAACAGAGTGCGATTTCTCACAACAGGAAGTCAAACTAATGAGGCTATTCTGCCAAGAAGGAACATGCTGAAGGAGCTCGTTTGCTCTGCAATGGAACGAGGCCTCTCAGAAGTAAGTCATCACACCACAGAGAGCTAGGATTAGCCACTGCATTCCAAAGCCAGAAAAGGTGGCCTAAGACACACCAAGGAATGCCCTTAATTTGTCAGAAATGATTAGCTACTTTACAATTACCATTTACAGGAAGCTGTGTACAAATCCTGGGCCTCTGAGGAGTTTCAAATGCCACAGGTTGACCGGCAAGAAGGTTGAAAGATCAGCTCCTTAAGGACCAGGGACTGTGTAGTTTAGGTGAATGATAACATACTCAAGGGAAAAATTACCTCAAATCCTTTCACTGAAAAAATCAGGTACAGGCTGCCCTCGCTGTAAGTCCAAGATATGTTCCAAAAAACTTGGCCTTATAGAGAAACAACTTAAAGCGGGGAAGTTTTCCCCCGCGGCTGACTTCCATTTGCGCCCCTCAATTTTTTTTTTTTGTGCGTGACTTAAGAGCAGGGAATGGGGGGACTTATAAAGCATCAGTTCCTACAAGCGTCAATGGCTTTAGTGCAGACCGTATGGATACCGGGGCGACTTACAGTGGAGATGTCCTGTATCTGCTATGAGTCTTAACTGCAAACTTATTGATAAAAAGAGGCATCTGCTGTTCTCAACAATGGCCCGTGACTTAAACCCAAGGGAATCCAAAACTTTGGATTCAAGATCGAAGAGAATGGATTTAAATGGCTCCAGTGCTAGTCAGATCTACTCTCCCATTTCCAACTCCCGGAAGAGCTGAGACCCCATGGGTAAGTAACATACAGAGAATAAAGTGGGGCGATTCCTTTTAATGAAGGGTCAGATCTTTAGCTGGTGTAAAGTGGTTTAGTGCTGAGTTTTCCACAGCCATCGCTTATACGATTTTACCTACAATTTTACCTGGCCTGTTATAAGAACATCTTGTGTGTTCATAGGGATGTAAAGTCCCCTTTAATTAGTTAACTGGTTAAACTTTACATTTAACCAGTTAACTGCTTAACCAGGAAGCCGTGGGATGGGGGTGGGAGGGCAGCTGGGCCACTAGTTAACCAGTTACCAGTAAGCATCACCCATTAAAGATAATGCTTAGCGGTGAGCCCCGATCGCCAGCCACGTGGTTCAGCACGCTGCGCATGCGCAGACTGCGCTGCACATGCACTGATCGCGCTGCGGCACTGTGCCGGGCTATAACCTACGCGCCCGTGGCGAGTAGATTACCTAAATTGTCAAGCCCTGCTTATCGATGAATCAGTTGCATGCCCAGTGTTCATGCTTCATTTCTGAAAGTTACATCATGCTCTTATTAGAACACATACAGATAAGCACATACAGATAAGCACACTGGGTTTGTTCTTATCAGGTTAAACCAGCTGTTCCATTTCGCACTGAGCAATACATAATCCAAACAAGCTCCATGTCCTTTTCGTTGAATGATATTTATACCTAACATGCGTCACCAAGTGACATAATTTTACACTTACCAATTGTTGTGGGATTCCTGTTTTCGCAGACAGGCCGAATTTCTTCCGAGTTGCCTCTGATCAAAATATTGATAGGTGAATACATGGATGTGGTATTTGAAATGGAGAAACTGAAGTTGCAGCCAAAGGTATCCCCGGAGATGTAATTCTGACATTGCTCTTGGTTTTCCAGACCCTCATGCCTATAAGAATACAGTGTAAACGTACAGTTTTAACTTTGAGCAGTACAGACAAATCTGCTGCCTCTACCGGATAACTTAAATCTGTAAAAAAATAAATTATATGTTGAAAATCGTTTGTTCTAGGAGGGCAAACATCTCCCGGGAAAAAGAATTCCACCTCCGATGAATTCCCTTTGACTTTCCCCCATCCCCACAAGGGAAGTTAGTCCACGGTCCGACTGACAGTAGCTAGTCCTAGTCCTGCAATATACTAGATGTTACACAGGCCCCCACCCTTTTTAAGACACAACGCCCTTACTCCTAATATAATCAAAGTGCACACCCATGCCCCTCCTCTCCACAGCCATGATCCAGAGCCAAGACTGAGGGTGGGGGCTGGGAGAAGGGCAGACCCATAGGCCAAGGGCGGGGTTTGGACTAGACAGAGCTGGGCGCCGCTCCTTTCTTGCCCCCAACGAGGGCTGGCCTTGGCCCCACTGTGCCCTTCTTACCGTTCCCCTGCACCTCCTTAGGAGGACATGCCCCACAGTGTGGGCACCACTGTTATAGTCATCCAGTGTTTGCCTGATCCAGTCAAGTGTCCCACCCACCATACTAATTTCCCTCCTACCCCACCTGCCACCACGCGCAGAGAAGCTACCACACTAGGGGTGTGAAGGATGATGTTTACCAGTTCCAGTTAACCCCACTGCAGGAAAGGGGCTGCTCTAGTCCTGCAAGGCCTGCTGCAGCCAGGGACTGCTCTCCCTGTGCCCACCCCTGCCAATTCAAAAGGATTTTACATGCCTACACCATGAGATGGGGAAACAATCCCAGCACAGACCCCAGGGGACTTCCACAGGAGCTGGGTACGGCTACTGTAGACGCGTTCCCTTCTGTCCCCCCGTAGCAAGGAAAAACTGTCACAGCCTCTGGCACCATGACAGGAAAGCAGTGTCCATGCTCTGCCCACCCCTGTGCATACAAGGTGTGTATGTAGTCTCTCTCACACATGCTGTCACATGCCACATGATCCACCTTCCTGTGGCATGCCTCTCTCCTGCAGCCACCCTTGAATTTTCAGGGAAGTTAAAGTACAGAGGAATACAGAGATCTATTTATACTGGATGCCTTCCTTCCAGCCGGACTCTACTGCAGCTAATCACTCTCTGCACTGGTACAAACTTGTTGCCAGCTAATAGCAACAACGTAAGCAGCTGGAAGGCCTTACAGTCACATTCATCCTCTATCCCCACACGGCCTGTGCAGGAAAGGACCGTGGAAGAGGGGTGGAAGATGCATAACCATCTAGAAATTTAAATTCTTTTTTCCAATCAGGCCCCGGGCTAGATTTCCATTGCTATAAGTAAGGAGGGGCTGAGGTGAACCGTTTAGGCCAACATAAAGGTCATTTGTGCTTGTGTTTACCTTCACAAGCTGCACAAACTTTTTGGTATTTGCTGTCCAAACACAGCTGTAGAAAACGTGGTGAGCTTAATATCAGACATCTGGGGTGAGAAAGACGACTTTTCTTTTGTAGTCAACAGAAAGCAAGATGTAAATTTAATGTCAATTTAACCCTGACACGAACTTCGAAAGCTTTCAAAAATCTCTCTGCAGAAACAAACGCAGTCGAGCATTTCAGGAAAGACATCAATATCCGGGAGCGTGCACTGGATAGTGTGTATAAATGCTGGTGCCAAATTTTTCCTCTCTCCACAACTCTGCTGTCTTGTAACAGGAGACTATTTATCGAAGACAGCTGGCACGTGACGGGCAGGAGATGCAAAAAAGGTGGCACCTTGCTCTAACTTTCAGGAATAAACCAGTTCCTTAAAGATGGAAGATAAAACCAAAAGACTTTTTTTTAAAGAAGTTGCTGGGGCAGGGCAAATGCTTCAGATCAGCAAAAAATCTCCCAAAGAGCCAACGTCAGCAGTCTTCTGGGGTGTCTACGCTTAGGCTACGTCTACACTGCAGGCTTCTTGCGCAAGAACTGTTTTGCGCAAGAGTTCTTGTTCAAAAGGTCTTGCACAAGAGCGTGTCCACACGGCCATGTGCTTTTGCACAACAGCGTCCATGGCAGTGAGGACGCTCTCTTGCACAAGAAAGCTCTGATGGCCATTTTAGCCATAGGGGTTTCTTGCGCAAGAAACCCCTGTTGCCCGTCCACACTGCCTTCTTGTGCAAGAGCGCTTGCACAAGAGGGCTTATTCCTCATGGGGAGAGGAATAACCCTTGCGCAAGAAGCCCTCTGTTCCGACGCTGTACTGTAAATTTACTTGCACAAGAATGTGCATGCAGTGTGGACACTCCACAAGTTTTTGTGCAAGAACAGCTGTTCTTGCACAAGAAGCCTGCAGTGTAGACATAGCTTTAGGGTGTGGCAATGTTTCTGTTACACGGGACTCTCAGTGACCGTCTCTGTCTCAGAGCTTTGGGATCCTTCACAGCAACGGGGAATAGTAAAAATCAGAGGAACTGAGTGCAAAGTCAGAAGCATTCCGCGTACTATGAAAGCAGAAAAGCTCTCGGTCGATACAAACCAGTAGTGCAGCGTGTAGTTGGTGTGAGCGCTTGCATTCTGGCCAGGAAGCCACGTACAGACCATGTACTCCAAGTTGTGCCACGTGCAGTTTATGTCAACAGCAGCAGTACCTTCAGCACCTGCAATGCAAGTTTCACAGCCTCTTAGAAAGATGTTTCTACCAGCACATGCCTTTCAGTCTCAAATATCAGAGCACCCCTTTGCTCAGTGAAGTTCTTAGCTGGTGCCATTGGCCACCTTCCCCTTCCCCACCTGGCAAGCAGAGGATGGGCTACAGTGAATGCCTTTAATACTCAGCAAGTGCAAGTCATTCCCTTGTACAGCATGGCCTGCCTGATACCGGAGCACAGCTCCTTCTAAGTGCAGGGGACCCACCAACACGTAAACTGTGGCTCTCACTGAGTCTGAACGACCACTCAATATTGTACATGCAGAATGTGCTGGTGAAACAGTAAAAACGATTCCAATAAAGGGTAGGCACTTTAGGAGGAGTTAAAATCCTTGGCAATTAAAGGAATCCTACTGCAACGGCATCCCAGCTGCTGCTATTCGAAGCCACCAATGTTTACCCATGGTGACTGGGATATCACAGTTCTTTCCATGTACTTTGAATATGGAAATAACTGGCTCTAGTCTAGAACACAGCAAACATGGGCTCAAGTCAACTTTTCATCACGACGGCTGCACTTCTAAGCATTTTACTATATTCAAAACATCAGAAAAGTCACTGAATGGTAAAAACGAACAATTCCACAGCCACAGTGAACCGGGATGTTACTGGAATATCCTGGGTAGGCGGAGCAGCTACAGAACCAGGCTGTTCATGTGTCACTTCCCATCTCACACACAAGAAGTGGCACAATTGCATAGGCTGAAGAGTTGAAACCCAGTTTCTTCATTTGCACCAGCCACTGCTGTCTCCCACAGCATTAACTTACCACACCTCAGAGAAGAACTAACGGTGCCTGTGAGCCCACAACAATCCTCAGGCACTACATATACACATTACTTTCATCAAAAGCCCAGACTGGAAACCCCCTTCTGTTCCTCAACTGGTTTCTTCTGAGGCAGCAACTGCTTGAAGGCTTATTACCGGGAAATCAGAATTGTGCGGAGGGGACAGGTGCCTATGCTGCCAGCGTCTTCAACACCAAACCTGGTGAGCGCACTCAGCCCCGGTGGCTCACTTGTGCAGTGCGCCAGAACAATGCCTAGACCGCGCTCCTCAAACACTAAATCCCTTTACTTGCCGAAAGCTCCAGTGTCTCAGTGTCGCCCTGCAGCCTCGCCTTGCTTCTCCCTTGGCTGGCCAGCAGCAGTCACATGCTTTTTGCCTTCCATTAGGGTGGGGGGGAGCAATCATTTTTGGTGGGGGGCCACTCCCAGATTTTGTAAGTGGTCACGGGGGCTTGGGGCCTAGGATGGCGGTTGTGTGCAGAAGGGCACACGGGGCCAGGGACTGGGGTGCAGGAGATGGTGTGGAGAAGGGGGTTGGGTCAGTGGATTGGGGCGTGGGTGCAGGAGAGGATTCTGGCCTGGGGGAGGGGTGCAGGGTCTGGGAGGGAGCTGTCACCTGGCACAGGGGGTGCAGAGGGTTGGATGGTTACCCAGGTGCGGGAGGGGCAGGGGCGCCAGAGGCAGGCGCTGGCTGGGAGGAGTTTACCTAAGTGTCTCCTGGCCGGCAGGCTGGGCGCCCTGCCTGCTGCAGCCCCAGCTATGGATCTGACATGACATCACAATCTACATAGATCTGAGTTAGAAAATACCGGACATTGATATTTTCTCCATTTGTTCCCCGAACAGAAAGCTCGAATACTGGACTGTCCAGTTCAGACCCGGACTCAGCTCCGGCGACAGGGGGAAAGAGGCTTGCGCTGCCCCAGTCGCTCAGGCCGATCTCTCAGCTCCGATTGGCTGGCTGTTTCCAGCCAACTGGCGCGGAGAGATTGCTGAGGTCAATTCTTATTGGCCGGTTGTTCCTGGCCAATCAGAGCTGAGAATTGGGCTGGGGCTGGGGAGAGCGCATGGCGCCTTCCCCCTCCCTGCAGAGCAGAGAGCAGGTCTGGGTTTTCAACCACGGCAGCAGCATGTGCTGGAGGGTCCCGGCAGGGGAGTCCATCGGCTGGATCCGGCCCCTGGGCCATATTTTGCCCAGCCCTGCATTAGGGTCACTTGCTGTCCTGCCCTTCTCCCTGTAGCTCTCTCTATTTCCAGCCCCAGCCTGAGGTCTGCCATACGGTCTATTACCTCTCAGTTCTCCTTACACCTTTGTCTTCTCTGACACTACCCAGAATGCACGTTTCCCTTTGCCTTTCCGCCCCCCACCCAATCACTTGTGTTCTCCTCGGATTCAGAGGGGAGAAGTTTAGATCTTAGTGTGTTTGCAGGGCAGCAGTGGTGCGCAACCTGTGGCCCATGGGCCGCATATACCCACTGGAGCTCCACCGCTGGCCCCTGCCCCCCGTCTGCCCTCCCCCCCCCAGCTCTATTCCCACTCCTTCTCCACCCCAGCACTTTTGAAGCACCATGAATCAGCTGATATGAGCTCTGCGAGACAGCTGCCCAGGGGGCCGTGGGTCGCACGTTGCCTACTGCTGGCTCATGCGGCCCACTGAGATGAAGGATAGCCACTTATGCGGCCCACTCACTAGTCTTGGTTGCCTATCACTGGCATACAGGGCAGGATTCATCATTACAGAGGCACACACGCTTTAAGAACAAAACGTATAACAACCATTTCCCTGTTGTAAGCAGTGTGATTGCATCTTGCTGATCCCAGAGAGACAAGGAGGTGAGCGAATGTCTTTGATTGGACCCACTTCTGTTGGTGAGAGAAACAAGTTTCAAGTTTAAATAACCCTTACTCCAAAGTGTGTGTCTCTATTCAACAGAAGTGGGTCAAATGAAAGACATTCCCTCACCCACCTTGTCCCTCTTATTTTTTTTTGCTAATTTAGGATTTCCCGCGTCTCCTGTAAGAGCTAATAATGTAAACGATGGGAGGTGAGAACTGTACAGTTTACTTTTAAAGTATATTGGGATGTACACAGATGCAGACACTTTCAGTTATGTTAGTATTTTACCATAGCCTTTCTTGAGATTCAGCTTTCTTGTGCTACCTCACAGAAAGCAGGATGATGTGTTTTCAGTCAGCGATAGAGAAGATAACAAAACAAGCTCAAGGTTGGGTATTAGTTTGGTACCTTTTGGTGAAGTAGAAATCATCACCCAGTCGCTTGGTTCACTAGCATTTTCAGCTTTGCATTCACTTCTCACTTTGAAATGAACCATCTCATTCAAGGATACATCTTCCTCCCGAAACCGTTTCCTAGACCATTCCTAAATGTGAAGAAAAAGAAAACTTTTAAATGCCAAGTAGATTAAACACCGAAGATGCAAAGACACCATCGTTAATGTAAAAATATCCGAGAACAAATCAAAAGGTTCTAGAAACAGGAACAACTGACGATGCTTAAAAATCCAAATTAAAGTCATTCCACAAAAACAAAAGATGATGATCTTTCAGTAGGCATATGCCAACGTAACATACAAGAAGAGAGTGTCACAGTCAAAATCCAATTTCTTGTGGACATGGATTGGCAACATATAGAAATCCAGAATGCACTACAGAGGAGACTTTTCATCCTAAAGGCAGTCTTCCAGATGTGATAAGGCAAAGTCAGGAAATGTTCACTGCCTCTGCCTAAATGGAGGAGTTTAAAAAAAGGGATGTCAATCCAGCACCTTTCACTACTCCACAGTCACACAAAGCATTAACGTAAGAAAGAGAATTCAAATCACATGTGAGAGAAACAAACAGCAGAAGAAATGTACACATAAGCAAACAATCACGGAACCGAGAAGCAAACAATCACGGAACCGAGATGGGAGCCAAACAAACATCAACATTCCAAATACAGCAGATTTGAATGCAAAAACTGCAGCCACAAAACAAACTTAGGAACTGGTTTCCCTTAAAAGAACCAGGATATCCTGGATTTGGCAGGAAGAATACTGCAATCACAGCTGGACCGTGCTGTAAACATCAGGCCATATGACCACCATAGTGGTCAGTAACCACAGAGTGTCCCCACGAGGTGTCCTTTCAGAGCCTGGAGGACTTGCATCACATCTGGTTGGGCAGCATCCAAGACACCATGACGTGGGGGCAGTTCAGGACAAAAAGATTGTTAAAATCTTTAACTGTGAAGCCTAGGACTATAACCGAGTTTAAAGAGAAGCTAGATAATCTCATGGAGGTTAGCTCCATAAAAGGCTATTAGCCAGGGGATAAAATGGTGTCCTTGGCCTCTGTTTGTCAGAGGCTGGAGAGGGATGGCAAGAGACAAATCGCTTGATCATTGTCTTCGGTCCACCCTCTCTGGGGCACCTGGTGCTGGCCACTGTCAACAGACAGGACACTGGGCTAGATGGACCTTTGGTCTGACCCAGTACGGCCGTTCTTATGTAAATGTGAAAGTATATGACTAGCTAAACTTCTGGACTGGGATCCCACTTTGAAGCTCAGTTTTATGTAGCTTGAAGATGCAGATAGTGGTATGTATTAGGGGTGTGCATGGGTAATCAGTTACTGGGTAAGCATCATGCTTACTGGTAATGCTTACCATTTAACTGTTAACCCATGCCTAAGAGCAGCCCTCTGCCACGGTGCCGAGGGGTGCTCCAGGTCTGCCGGGCCCACCCCGCTGGGATTCAGCAACCTCACATGAGGCCAGCAGAGCTGAAGGAGCTCAGGGGGTGGCTCCAGCCAGGCGAGTGCAGTCCCTCACCTGGAATCTCGCTTAATCGGTTAACCCCAATGTTTAATCCGTTAACTGATTACACGGGATTTGACATCCCTAGTGTGGATAGGTTAGAATACCTTTAAAAGGAATACTTAATATAATGGAGACAGGAGTCTTTGCTATCATGCTGTTTGTTAATTATCAGTAGAGGAACCGACAGCCGCGCCAGGCTCTGTGATCCTGGAAGGGGCGGGGTCTCGGGTGGAAGGGGAGGGGCCGGAGGCAGGCTGCTCTCAGCGCTGCCTGGAGTGTGCCATGCTAGCCCTCCCAGCCCTTATATCTGCCTGGAGTGCTCCGATGAGGAATTAAAGGGCTCTGGCTGCGGCTGGGGGTGAGGGCACTGAGCCCTTTTGAATCGCTGGGTCCTGGGGCAGCTGCCTCCGTTGCTCCCCCTCCCTAGTCAGTGGTTCTGATAATCACAAACTATCCAATGCCGGAATGAGGCTGGCTGCTGCTTTTGAGCTCTGCGCATTGTACCACAAAGCATGGCATCACAACTTAAAGAGGTGAGATTTTTTAAGAGCAAACAACTCCTTTCCCACACCAAAAAGTACGTTTGGTTCAACCAAAATATTTTAAAATTGTGCAGATTTCACCAAATTATTTCAGTGAAAAAGACTCCAAAGAGTCAGTATGTTGTTTCAAACAAAAATATTTAACATTTTCAAATTGAGTTTTTCATTTCAAAATTTGCTTTCATTTTGTTCAAAAAGGCAAAAGAACTTAATAATTTGTAATTGTTTTGTCAAAAAAATCATTTCGTTTGTGGTCAGCTAAAGATAATTCTGTCCCCTCTTCTTTGTCCACCAAACTTAAACTTCAGAGAGGTAGCCAAGTTAGTTTGTAACAGGAAAAACTTAAAAAACAACAAATAGTCTAGTATCACCTTAAAGACTAGCAAAACATGTAGATGGTATAATGAGCTTTCGTGGGCACAACCCACTTCATCAGATGACCGGTCGTGCACAGGATTGCTAAGTATGTAGATCCATTATAAGTATATACCTTCCGAGAACAGTTACAGGTCATTGTATTTCCTTTCATAAGGAAATGCAAGGATAAATATTTACAGGAACACTGTGGAATTCAAAGAGCTGAAAGCAAAACTTACTGTATTTTCTTGTGGGATCTCATTAATCAAAATTTCACTGCAATATTCTAGATTACAGTCACTACTAATGCCCTCTGGAGGACTCCACGTCCATTTCAGTTTACAGGGCTGGACATATGAATAATGTAGGTTGGATGGAGGCGGGAGAACTTTTTTTCCTATAAAAGCAAAGGAAAAAGCTTTAAATACATACATAATGCATGCTGTAAATAATTTAATTAGTGCTGGTAAAAATTGTCCATAAAGTCTATTTCGACAGAAATTTCATTTTAACAATGAAATTTCCCAACAAAAGCAGGTAGTTTTCTGGAAAACGAACCCCCCTTTCTGGTCAAAACAATGAAAACCCAAAGTTGTCAGGAGGAAACTTACATATTTTGACCCTCCTCCCCCAAAGTCTGAAAAATAAAAATTAAAGCTGATCAGAAAATGTTCTAAATTTCATGTACTGATGCTAAGATCCTACGGACGTTTATATTACAACGATTTAAAAATATAATCCGCTTCAGCTTCATAATCCTATTTAAATAAGGGATAAATAAATAAAACCCACTATATTTTTGTATTGATCTTTAAACATTTGACAAAATTCTCCCTTTACAATGGTTCAGACTAGATTGTAAAATAACACAACTGACATACTTGCCCAACCAATGCTTCCTCTTACCTCCCCAAACCACATGCAAATCTGATTTTCAGGGGCTAGGGAGTGAGTTTCATACAAGCCCGACTGATCAGGTGGGCAGGCACACACAACACCTCCTTCAGGAACTACATTTTTGGTCAGGTTTTATCCAGCATCAGCCGAAGGCTTGCAGGTGGCTGCTGATGTAAGTTTGTGCACAGCGGCTGAAAGACGAACTATTCTCTGTCATCACCCTCACAGGTCTGCCCATCCCCCATCCAGCCACCTAATTAAGCATTAAACAAAACCGTGGGCAATTACACAAATACTTCCCTGTGAGGCGATTACGATTACTACAAACACGTGCTAACAAGTGTACGAAAGGAAAAGAAACAAGCTATGGCATCTAACAGTACAAGCAATCAAGGACAAAGAGGGGAAAACCTGGTTCATCAAGAAAAATGACTTGGAAGATGATCAAGAGCACAAACTATGCCGCACTCAGAGTCTCAAGAGTCATCAACCCAATTATCCAGGGGCAGGGAGGTCTTTTTGTATAAGGCAATTCTTTATTATATCCAATAGAACAGGCATTAAAAAGGCCCAATGAGATTGGTTTCTACATGGAAATTAGCCATCATGATGTCAGCTGAATAAGCAACACCAGCATTAAGATGGCTGAGGGAAGAGGAGGGGTAGATAAAATGGTATCACAATTAGGTCCTTACCAAAGTCAAGGTCCATTCTGGTCAGTTTCAAGCCATAGGATTTGAAAACTGGTAAATTTCACATTTTCAGACATTTAAATCTGAAATGTCATGGTGTCGTGACCACGGGGATCCTGCTGTGTGAAGGAGGTGTGGTGGGTGTTAGATGGGACGGCTGACCTTTACATAAGTAACAGCTGTCTGGAAAAGGGAGTAGATGGTCTTCAGTGCAGACTGCAAAGGGTCGATTAGCAAGGCTGTTCAGCTAGAAGATTGTGGCTGCCATCTTAGACTCGTTGACTGGAAATCTCCACAAACCAAGGGAAGTGGCCAGAGCATATGTGTCGTGTCTGAATGGTTCTTCCATTTCCTGCAGAGTTATCCATGTTGGCAAGAGCTGAGTGGCCTAAGCTGACTGACTTTGTTCCCAGTTCCAAAACCACATCTTGGCTTCATAGGGATAATCTACAACTTGGCGAACAGTTCTACACGCCAGGCCACATCATACGTAGCTGAATGATCCACCAAAGAGAAAACTGGTGCTTGGCCTCTCTCGCAGGCATCTTTGGTGCCCTATGTAAGGTGCATGACTTGAGCTTGGATACACCATCCTCATACATAGCCAGCCTGAATGAAGGACGGTAGTGATCAGAGAGTCATGTTGGTTATGAGGTGCCTCTGTTTCTCCACAAGCTCCTACCTGACACAAAGGAGAGAGGTGGGTCATTAGTTCTTGGGATCATCCGTTGGCTCTAATTTTGGAACGCTGACGACCTTCACTCTGCACCATATTTTTGGGATGTAGTTGTCCTGGAAACACTGGAGGCAGAAACGAAACAGCCAACGTTTGAAGAAGGGACTCCATAATCCAGACCCGGAGCCTTTCCAGTGTCAGTAAGTTTTATGGTCTGGTCCAGCTCTTTGTCCAAAAAAGGAGCAGTCACAGGGTACACCGCTCACAGCTGTCACCTCCAGGTCTCTTGGAGATTAGCTCGTGAGCAAGGACGACTGGTGAGGGGTGACACGGTGAGGCCAATGGCCATGTGAACCCCTCCCCCCCAACCTGGGGAAGGGCCCCTCCACCCTAGGCTGTGCCTCTCTTGACCTTCTCCTCTTCCCTGTCCTTGCTCTGTCCCCATCCCATCTCATTCTCCTCCCCCCAACGATGTGGCCCAGGGCCAGGGGTCTGGTGCTGGCAGCGACGGTCCAATCCGCCTGGCAACAGGATGGGGAAGTGGTCCAGCACTGCCCCAGCTTGCTCTCCTCTCCCAGCCACATGGCTCTGCTTCCTGATGGTGAGTCCAAGTGCAGTCCCGCCTCCTCCCATGAATAACGAGGCCAGAGGAGTGGAGGGAACTGGGACTGCATTGCGTTGCTTTCCCGGCTGCTGTCAGTGAGCACCCAGGAGAAACCCCTGCTGCAGGCACCAGCTCTTCCCCCCTGCCAGTTGTTCCCGGGGACTCTGGCCCTGTTGGCTGGCCCCTTGCCCCTCCTGCCCATGTCATTTAGGTTAGGTGCCCTGGTTGCCCCCCACATGCTGCCTATGCGCATGAGGCAGATGCTGTCTTCTGCGGTTTGCACACCACTGCTCCGACCCTCCCTCTGGACTGCAGCCCCTCTCACTCCAGGAACTGCAGCATCCGCTCTTCAACTTAGCCCTCTGACTTCGTCACCCAGTGCTCCCTCTTCTATGGTGCAGTCCTCTGAACCCTCTGGCACTCCCACACTTCTAGTTTACTGGCTAGTAGGAAAACCCAGGCCCCCACTCTTCTCTGGGTGCCAGTCCGGGGACCCTCAACCCAGCAACTCTGGTCTTTCCACTCGTGGCGCCTTCTTTGGGCTGCTTCTGACCACGTCGGCTCCCCTCACCTCTCTCTGTATTAGCTCTAAACCTTCCTCCCAGGAGTGTCTTCAGCCTCCAAATCCTCCTTCCTCTTCCCAAGGAAAGGCTGACTTTTTCCAACAGCTGGCCCCTTCTGTTGCTGATGTATAGACCTCCCTGCTCTTCCTCTGGGAGAAGCCTGTGGAGTTAATTGGCCTACCTAGCCATCTCAACCTTCCTCCCTTCCCCCCATCACAGGAACCATCACATTTGAATCCATACGAGGAATGTCTCATCTTCAATGTGAGCACACAGCTGAAAGCCTTCTCCAGGTTCTAAGCATGGCCTTAGCTACGAGCTGGGAGGTGAAAGAATTGCAGTAATTCCTTTTTGCTGAGGATACAACTGATTTTAATTGTCTGCCAAGTTTTCTGACTAGAATGAGAAAATCCAGCTTTGGGATTCTCTTCCCCCATCGATCATGTCGGGTTTGATCCAGTACTTGAATGAGATCCTTATTCTTATTAATCGCTTTCTGTGTTGTTACTAGCAGATCTGAATGCTGGCAAAGCTTAATGGCCTCTACGGACGGATTTCTTATCAGCTGCCTGGAATAATTAGCAGAAAGCAGGGGTGCCATCAGGGGGTTGAAGGGCTCTAGTGTTCCCCTGTATTTTGTACTGGGGTCTACTCAGCCTAGCTCCAGACAGAGCTATCTTAACTGCAACACAGCCTGAGTGTGGTATGTGAGCAACTTGGAAGCTGGCAACAACACTGCCTTTGTGACCGGGAATTTATTTCTAAACAGTCATTACAGTAAATTAAGGATCATTAGATGATCTGGAAAGCATTGCCAGGCACTTCCAATTAAAAGATAAGAAACAAAGGGTAGGAATAAATGGTGAGAATGGAAATAAATACATCATGATGTGCAGTGTCTGTACTGGAGACCAGTGCTGCTCAACACAGTCATATATAAATGATCTGGAAAAAAGGGTGAACAGTGAGTTGGCAAAAGTTGCAGATGATACAAAATTTATTTAAGATAACAGTTAAGATTGCAAAGAGTTACATGGGGAATTCACAAAACTGGGTGACTAGGTAACCCAATGGCAGATGAAATTCAATGTTCATAAATACAGAGTAATGCACATGGCAAAATATAACCCCAAATATACAAAATAATGGGGTCTAAATTAGCTGAACCCATCAGTAAAGAGATCTTGGAGTCACTGTGGATAGCTGTCTGAAAATATTGGCTCCATGTCTAGTGGCAATCAAAAAAAAACAACAAAAAACCCCCAACAGCCCAACAACACCTAACGGAATCTTGTGACTTACTAGGAAAGAGATAGCTAATAAGATAAACAATGCCATATGGCCTCTATATAAATCTATGGCATGCCCAAACATTGAATACTATGTGCAGATTTAATCACTCCATCTCAAAAAAGATACACTGGATTTGGAAAGACACAGAGGAGCAAGGAAATTATTAGGAGTATTGAACACATTCCATATGAGGAGAGGTTAAAAAGCCTGGGACTTTTTAGCTCAGAAAAGATATGACTAAAAGGAGGATACGACAGAGCTATGAAATCATGAATGGTGAGGAAAAATTGAATAAAGAAGTGTCATTTACTCCTTCAAATAACATAGGAACTAGGAATAGAGAGGTAGCCGTGTTAGTCTGATCTTGATAAAACAAAAGGAAAAACTATGCAGCACTTTAAAGACTAACAAGATGGTTTAATAGGTGATGAGCTTTTGTGGGCCAGACCCACTTCTTCAGATCATATTCTGGAAGAGAACTGGCATGACCATATATACCAAAGGAATACAATGAAAAAAGTGAACACATTATTAAACTGACAAATTGGATTTAGAACAGAAAGTGGGGGAGGAAGAGGGAGAGAGGGAATAGCTGTTTATAAGTCAATGAGTGGCTAATCAGGGGTGATAAGTGGGGAAGCTGTCTTTGTAATGTGTAAGGTAATTAGCATCTTTGTTAAGGCCCATTCGGAAAGTGTCAAATTTAAGCATGAATGAAAGTTCTGAAGTTTCGCTCTGTATTTTCGTGTTAAAGTCTCTTTGAAGTAAGATGCTTGTAGTAAGGTCATTAAGACTATGTCCAGGTAGGTTGAAATGCAAACTGACAGGTTTTTCCTTGTGAAGATGTCTGATGTCTGATTTGTGGGCATTAATTCTTTGGCAAAGTGTCTGAGAAGTCTGTCCGATATAGATAGCAGAAGGACACTGTTGGCACATGATGGCATAAATTATATTTCTGGACGAACAGGAATATATCACTTTTTTCATTGTATTCCTTTGGTATATATGGTCATGCCAATTCTCCTTCAGAATATGATCTGAGGAAGTGGGTCTGGCCCACGAAAGCTCATCACCTAATAAACCATCTTGTTAGTCTTTAAAGTGCTACATGGTTTTTCCTTTTGTTATAGGAACTAGGAGTTACTCAACAAAATTAATAAGCAGTAGATATAAAAACAAATAAAAGAAAGTACCAAATATACCCGTTCATAATGTGAAGCATCAAAGAACGGGGGTTGGCTTATGAACAGGCTATACTGTCATTGTAGATCAGGAGTTGGCAAACTTCTGCTCTTGGTCCCTCAGGGTAGGCCGTTGGCTCACCAGGAAGTTGTGTGTTCCTAGAGCATCTGCAGGCTTGGAACCTCTCAGCTTTCAGTGGCAGCAGTTCGCCATTCCTGGCCAACGGGAATGGCAGCCAGTACGTTGATTGGTCCGCACAGCTTCCCGCAACTCCCATTGGCCGGGAATGGTGAACAGCTGCCCCTGGGAACTGAGGGACTCTGTGCCGTCTGCGGACGCTCCAAGTACACAAAACATCCCGGCGCACCCATGGCTTGCCCTAAGGAGCCAAGAGCTAAAGTCTGCTGACCCAGCTTTAAAAGTATTTTAAAAGTTGGAGTCACAAGAAACATGCAAAAGGTTTATCTAAGTTATTTTAATATAATCTAAAAGAAACCTGTTAGAATAGCTAATAAAATTTGTATTCACATACCTTCAAAATTACAGTCCATGTTTTTAAAGTCTCATATAATTCTAATGAATTTATTTATTAAATCATAGAATACTAGGACTGGAAGGGACCTCAAGAGCTCATCGAGTCCAGTCCTCTGACCTCATGGCAGGACCCAGTACTGTCTAGATCAGGGGTCTTCAACCTTTTTAACCACAAAATCGCTTTTTCAATAAGTGCAATGTAAGATTTACCTCAGACCCAAATACCCTTTTCCCCACTTCCTTCCCACCCCTTTTTTGAGGTCCTGCCCCTGCTCAACTCCTTCTCCAAGGTCTTATCCTGCTCACTCCATTCCCCCTTCCTCCCTCTCCTCATTTACTTTCACCAGGCTGTGGTAGGGGGTTGGGTGCAAGCTCTGGTCTTGGCCCAAGAAGTTTGGAGTGTGGGAGGGGCTCAGGGCTAAGCCCAGGATGGGGTTCAAGGTGCAAGCTCTAGGAAGGAGCTTGGGTGAAGGGGGACTCATGCCTGGGGCAGGAGGTTGGGTATATGAGGAGGTTCAGGGCTGGGACAGGAGTTCAGGAAGCAGGCTCCTGGCTGGGCGTCGTTTAACTGTTGGGTGAAGGGGGACTCATGCCTGGGGCAGGAGGTTGGGTATATGAGGAGGTTCAGGGCTGGGACAGGAGTTCAGGAAGCAGGCTCCTGGCTGGGCGTCGTTTAACTGAGACAGCTTCTTGGTAGTGGAGCAGTAGGGTTAAGGTAGGTTTATTCCTTCCTTGGCCCTGCACCACTCTTGAAAGCAGCTGGCATGTACAGCAACGGTTCCATGGTGCCATGTGCTACCTCCTCATCTACAGGTACTGAGCTCACAGCTTCTACTGGCCAAGGCTCCCCGTTATTGATCAATGGGAGCTGCAGGTGTCGTGTCTGCAGGCCAGGACAGCATGTGGAGACTGCCTCCTCTGCATTTCTCAGGGACTACAGGGACATGCCAGCCATGTCCAGGAGCAGCAATTACTACAGGGATAATTACTCCAGCCACAACAGGTTAGTTATTTTAGAACTCCCTACTATATTTAAGTGTAAGAGAGAAATGAAAATGATGAAATGCACAGACCAGTCAAAACTCAAAAATAACCCATTTTGCAAGCAGTAAAAGCAGTAACAACAACAAACCTCCACGTATGTGTTGGGTTGGGAGATGAGAGAGAAGGACAGTAAGTGGGTGTTTGTGAGAATGACACACACACACACACAGTGTGTGAGAGTGACAGAAAGTTGCACTGCCAAGCTCCCGCCATCCCATTCTTCCTCTGTGGAGAGAGGGTACAGAAGTGGGGGGGCAGCAAGGACACCCTGACATTAGCGCCTCCATCTTCTCACTCCCATGCCCTGCACAGCAAGCAGAAGTCTCCCAGGGGAGCAGCTCCAAGGCAGAGAGCAGGAGCAGCAAGACAGTGGGTGGAGGGGCTACTCCAGTGCTTGACAGTTTCTTAGCCAACCCAGTCAGGATCAGTTGTCAGAGGATCCCAATCTACTGGTTGGTGACCACTGGTCTAGACCATCCCTGATAGACATTTATCTAAACTGCTCTTAAATATCTCCAGAGATGGAGAGTCCACAACCTCCCTAGGCAATTAATTCCAGTGTTTAACTACCCTGACAGGTAGGAACTTTTTCCTAATGTCCAACCTAAACCTCCCTTGCTGCAGTTTAAGCCCATTGCTTCTTGTTCTATCCTCAGAGGCCAAGATGAACAAGTTTTCTCCCTCCTCCTTATGACACTCTTTTAGAGACCTGAAAATGGCTATCATGTCCCCCCTCAATCTTCTCTTTTCCAAACTAAACAAGCCCAGATCTTTCAGTCTTCCTTCATAGGTCATGTTTTCTAGACCTTTAATCATTGTTCTCTGGATCCTCTCCAATTTCTCCACATCCTTCTTGAAATGCGGTGCCCAGAACTGGACACAATACTCCAACTGAGGCCTAATCAGTGCAGAGTAGAGTGTTAGAATGACTTCTCTTGCCTTGCTCACAACACTTCTGTTAATGCATCCCAGAATCATGTTTGCTTTTTTTGCAACAGCGACACACTGTTGACTCATATTTAGCTTGTGGTCCACTATAACCCCTAGATACCTTTCTGCCGTACTTCTTCCTAGACAGTCACTTCCCATTCTGTATGTGTGAAACTGATTGTTCCTTCCTAAGTGGAGCACTTTGCATTTCTCCTTCTTAAACTTCATCCTGTTTACTGCAGACTATTTCTCCAATTTGTCCTGATCATTTTGACCCTATCCTCCACAGCAGTTGCAACCCCTCCTAGCTTGGTATCATCTGCAAACTTAATAAGCATCCTCTTTATGCTGGTATCTAAATTGTTGATGAAGACAGAACCAGTCTCAAAACAGACCCCTGCAGAACCCCACTTGTTATACCTTTCCACCAGGATTGTGAACCATTAATAACTACTCTCTGGGAACGGTTATCCAGCCAGTTATTCACCCACCTTATAGTAGCCCCATCTAAGTTGTATTTGCCTAGTTTATTGATAAGAAGGTCATGCAAGACTGTATCAAATGCCTTACTAAAGTCTAGGTATACCACATCCACCGCTTCTCCCTTATCCACAAGGCTCGTTATCCTATCAAAGAAAGCTATCAGATTCTTTACAAACCCATGCTGGCTGTTCCCTCTCACCTTCCCACCTTCCAAGTGTTTGCAGGTGATTTCCTTAATTACTTGCTCCATTATCTTTCCTGGCACAGAAGTTAAACTGACTGGTCTGTAGTTTCCTGGGTTGTTTTTATTTCCCTTTTTATAGATGGGCACTATATTTGCCCTTTTAAAATCCTCCAAAGGCTCCAATTCACCAAACTGTTCATGAAACTCAGCTTCAGTCATAGCTGCTCCTGCATTGTCAATATAGATGCCGGCAGTATGGTCCTGAGACTCATCATCCTCCATTGTGTGGTCAGCAAATATGGCATTGTCCTCTGAGCCATCAAGTGCACTGCTGATACAGCATGTCCAAAATGACTTTTCTATAATTTCCAAGGGAATGAACTCCCATGTATGCTTGATCCACTGAACAACCAGATTGATTTCAGGCTTCATAAGATTCACGCTTTTTGTCAACTTCGTCATGCCTGAGCACATCTAGTCAGACCACATTTTGCGTAGCCTGTCTTAAAGGATTTGTTCAGGCAGACATCCTGTGGTTGTAGAACAGAAGGTAAGCCTCTAGGCATTACAGCCAAAGTAGTTTTGTTTTGTTTGCTACCTGTTTTACCTCATCCATCTTGTGTGCCTTGACTATGTCCCAGACAAGCATAGCAGGTTTCTTGAGATGTTCTCATGGTTTCTCATTCCACGCTTTTTCCAGCCATTCACTTTCATCCATCCATCCTCTTTCATGTGAGCATATGACACCCCCGGGAAATTTCATATTTTTAGACAGTTTTTCTTTTAAAAACAATAACAGGAGGAAGTTTTGATCCATTGGCCAAACAAGCTAAAAATCACTGGATTTTTTTTCATGGCCAGTGGTTTTAATTAAAACTGTTTTTTCACCAACACCAGTTACCGTCCTGTTGTTTGGGAGATTGAATGTCAGTGGCGTTTCATCCATATTTTCTATTTGAGACAGCTCAAATGCTATTCCTTTCAATATTTTATAATAAACGTTTTGAAAGATTTGATTTTTTTCTTCCAAGTCACTCAGCAGCTTTTGTGCTATTTTTGTGTGCTGATGAAGACAGAAACCATGACGATTCATGAAGCGAGTACTCCGATTCACCGATGTGACAAACATTGATGACTTTACTGACTTAATTTTCAGAGCACACAGATGAAATCCAGTTCTAGTGCCGAGGTGCCCATTTTGTTAACATTCAAAACCTTGATCACTGAGCTCTTTTTCCAGCCCAGGAAATGAAGTCACATCACTGGACATTTTTTCTTGTTTCTTTGCGTGTCTTTGTGTTGTTTTATTTTTTTGCCATTCTTTTACATGCTTCTCATTGATATAGAACTCGTGAGCAGCAGCACAATTATTGTTTGCTTCTGTGTATTCAACAATTTAAGTTTGAACACTGCATGATGAGCAGTTTTCTTTTGATTTCAGAATTGCTCATTTTAAATACTAGTATAAAAATCTTAAAAAATAATTTAGTTATAGATTTTATAGGACATTAGAAAGGAATGTCACCTGCTTTATCATTGTCAAATTATAATTGTTCATTGTTTATTTCAAAGCAGTCCTGTAGATTGGCATGTCTATGCGATAACAGGCTATTTAAATTTTATTACAGATTTAATGGATTCTGTGCATTATATTTTCAGACTGGCTAGAGATGTAAGAGATCCAGTAGTCAACGTGCATAAAGAGATCAAATTATACAATAGCAGACCGACATCAGAGCCATAGCAGTATTATTCACTGTATTTTTCTGATTGACTTGTAAGGTCTAGCATTTTGTGAAACGGATGGGTCAAATGTCATGCAGGTCTACAGCACTGCTCTTTGGCATTAATTTAAAAGCAATCTATTCCACTAAAAAAAAGTTTGCAACTTTAAATGTATGAAGTATTGACATCGAAATATTTTACGAGCAATGTAAGTATGTGCTATAAAAATACAGATAATTATAATATAATCCTTTAGAAGAACAATACTAGAAAAAACAAACTAGGACTAGGAAAATTGAACTTTAGAGAAGCACGTTTTTAAATCATTTACATGGGCATAATGAGAAAAATGATATTATCAATATCCAGACATTTATATCAATTATAACAAATATAACATTTACATAATTTTTAAAAATTTTTTTGAAATTTTTCTAAAAAAGCGAATCCAGAATGGACTTTCCATCATGGTGATCTTCAACAGGGCTGAGCAAACTGTAACTCCCAACCCATCAGGGATAAGCTGGTGGTGCACTGGGTTGTGTTGTTTACCTGGAGTGTTCACAGGTATAGTGCCCTTCATCTCGTAGTGGCTGCAATTTGCCATTCCCAGTCAATGGGAGCTGCAAGAAGTGGCGCAGGCTGAAGCATGTGCTGGCTACCATTTCCCACCGCTCCTGTTGGCCAGGAGCCATGAATCGCAGACACAGGGAGCTGCGGGGCTCCAGGTAAATAAAACATCCTGACATGCCAGCAACTTGCCTTGACAAGTCACAAACTGAAGTTTGCCAACTGCTAAAATATAGTGTTAGTATAGTATAAACAAATGGGCTAATGAACAAATATATACAGTATTTCTTCATAGTAAACCTGTGCTACTCTGTGCAAGAGAAGTGAAGGTCAAGACTCTAACAGGACTAAAAAACAAAACCAAGATACATTCACGGAGCATAGGTCCTTTGATGGCTATAAGACATGGTGGACAGAGATCCAACATCATGTTCTGTTTGTCTCTCACCTCTGCTTGCCGGTGGGGATGGGTGATGGGATGAATCACCCACTGGTTGCCTGTTATATTCATTTCCTATGAACATGGCATTTGCTACTGTTGGCAGACAGCATACGGGGCTAGATGGACCTTTGTTTTCCCTCAGTATGGCTGTTGTGATGTTCTTACATAGAATCCAGATATATTTGCCCCCACTATATCCCACTAGACCCCACTCCTCTCCTAGAGCTGAGACAGACACCAGGAGTTCTGATGGGTCTTGCTCTCCCTCCACAGAGTTAGTAACAAGGTAAGAATATATATATTAAAGTTTTAAACTTAACAGTGTCCCTTAAGTGACCTGCCACAAGATGTCAGAATATGTTATTATTAGAGCCTAGTGGGTCTAATATTTCTTTATTTTTCTTTTATATAGGAATCAGATACAAGGTTCCTGTCAACTGACTGCTACATTATCTGCCAAAAGCCTAGCATTTAAGTGCCTAAGTGGCCCCTAAGATGACAATTAAGTTGCCTCCCCCTAAAAAAAAAAAAAAGAAAGAAAAAAAACCCCTGAAATGGCACTCATGGCAGAAAGTTTGTTGGGAGTCATTTATATTGGTTGAGCATGTCAAATCAGTTTAGAAAAGAGGAGACCGAGGGGGGATATGATAGAGGTCTATAAAATCATGAGTGGTGTGGAGAGGGCCGATAAAGAAAAGTTATTTATTAGTTCCCTAAATAGAAGAGCTAGAGGACACCAAATGAAATTAATGGGTAGCAGGTTTAAAACTAATAAAAGAAAGTTCTTCTTCACACAGCGTGTAGTCAACCTGTGGAACTCCTTGCCAGAGGAGGCTGTGAAGGCTAGAACTATAATAGAGTTTAAAGAGAAGCTAGATAATTTCATGGAGGTTAGGTCCATAAAAGGCTGTTAGCCATGAGATAAAATGGTGTCCTTGGCCTCTGTTTGTCAGAGGCTGGAGAGAGATGGCAGGGGACAAATCACTTGATCATTGTCTTCGGTCCACCCTCTCTGGGGCACCTGGTGCTGGCCACTGTAGGCAGAAAGGATACTGGGCTAGAAGGACCTTTGGTCTGACCCAGTATGGCCGTTCTTATGTTCTTATGTAAATCCAATCAGCCAGTTTGCTTATAAATGTATCTAGTTCTGCCTGAAAGACCTCACACCAAGCTTTCAGAAAATTCCATGAGACCTTCTGTCAGCCATTGTTAATAGCTGCATGCCCTGGTGATCAAATACAGCAGATGCTGAGAATTCAGAAAAGCTTCAAGTAATTTCCTCTGTGACCACTGAAGGCAGATGTCTAGAAGGTGAAAAAGTGATGCTGGGCGAAGAACCTGTAGCCCATCTGCTACTATGAAAGCTGGGAGTTTGTCTTGGGCCATAGAGGAGTTATAGGTCAGTGACTGATGCCCACACCATTAGATTCGCTCCAGCTATGGGTTTAAGGTAACACCAACAGACTTGATGGAAACAGAAGTCACTAGAGTAGATGGAAAGACCCGGAAAGGTGGGTGGAGTAGAGAGGCTGGCTAGCTGGCTGATGGAGATCTATTGATATTAATTAGTGCAAACTCATTCATCTTGATTACCTGCCATTCTACAATGGTATTTGGGCCAGATGTCAGTACAGTGACAGAGGACAGCTCTTCTCTAACATAAGATCGCATACTGACTGCAATTTGAATAAGCCTAGAACTGATATTTGCACGTCAGTGGTAGAGTGCATCTCCTAGAGCAAGATTAGATGTGGGTGGAGTTTGTAATTTTGTTGTCGATATTTGGTCAATATTAAACTGCAGTATACTGAGAAGTGCACTAGAGTTTGCAGTGCTGGCCCTGAAAGGGGCCCCACTAGAAGATGGCTCTTTCAGGCGGATCGTTGCTTAACATGTGAGCCTATGTTCCACATTTTTTTCCCTTCTCATTTTCCAAAATGATTCAATACATATATACTATTAAATCCACACAGTTAGCACCCAATTTAAGAAGCTTTCTACTTTAATATTTGTTTTGCAAGCCATGATTTAAATATTTGATACAATTAAGATATCTAATTTAAGTAAATTATTATAGCGTTAGAAAGTTTGACAGAATATTAGATGAGCTGGTAATGGCACCTCAACAGTAATTATGAAAGTGAAAGAAGAAGTAGATCAAAGATAGAACTTATCAATAACTATGAGGGGACTCCAACTTTCTCTGAAGGAGAACAATACATTTATATATATGAATCATTATTCCAACTCTTCTAAAGGTGTGCACAGTGATGTAGTGACACTCCTTTAAGATGAAAAATGTATAGAATCATAGAATAGAATCACAGAATATTAGAATAGGAAGGGACCTCAAGAGCTCACCAAGTCCCTTGCAAGCACCATCTAGATCAGTGTTTCTCAACCTTTTTTTTAATAGAGTACCCCTTTTTAAACAAAACAAAAACATGTATAAGTACCCCCAGTACCTACAGTTTTCAGACACACACTTTTTTTTTTTCTACCATTGCAACACATTTGTTTAAACAACTTAATCGTAGCCGGGCGGGAGATGAAATCTTTGGGTGTAAAAAGTACAAAAATAATAAAGCGCTGGAAAACTTTTTAAAAAAAATCAGTTTTCTCCAAATTTCAGTTGTGTTGATGTACCCCCCAGACTCCTCTCGAGTACCCTAAGGGTACTTGCACCGCTGATTAAGAAACACTGATCTAGATCATCCTTAATAGATGTCTATCTAACCTTCTATGTAATATCTCCAGTGAAGGAGATTCCACAATCTTATTATTTATAAAAACAGGGAAAGAAAATCAATGGTTTAATTCAAAGCCTAAGATTTTTTTCATTTAAAAAACCTAAAAAAAGTAATATTTTATTTCGGTCCAAGATACATCATCAGTAAGATTTCCAAGATTAACAGTAGCCAAGACTACATCAGTGAATTAACCTTGATTTCAATGCCAAACTTTCCAGTATCAGAAATACTACCACCAGTTATACAAAATACAACTTGATTAAATATTGAACCTCTGCCTCTCCTCCCCCAGAGCTCCACCAAAATTATCCTCATCTAACATCTGAGCCTCTCATGATTTCTGCTGGACTCTACACTAGCATACAGTCTGCATTGACAAAAAACTTGCAGAAGCTGGAGTTAGCCTTATAGATAGTTTGTGTTATAGACTGATAAGAAGTAAGTTATTTAGCATTAAATTATATGATATAACTAGTTCTGAATTTTACTCCTTTATACTTGCCTCCTTCCCCCCCACAGGACAGATGCACATGCACGCTTTTCAGATTGTTTTTCCATCCATTTTTTTCCTTGTTCTTATTAACAAATACAAGGAACATCAAAATCACTGGGATCTAAGGTAGTCTCTACATACATTTAGGTACATGGTCTTTTTACATTAATCTTCTGTAAATAGGGAATCCTTTAAAATAGAGATTAGTTTTCATTTAAATTTTCAGCCATGTTATATTAATGTTTTTCCACAGAACTTCTTTAGTTAAACACACAGTCAACATGAAAATCTAGACACTTAAAAAACTCCCCAAATTACAGGTTGATTCAGACATTTGTTCCCAACTTGCTTTTGGCTGATGTTGTGGGTTTACAAAGGTATTTTCCTATTTATTCGAAAAAATCTAAAACAAACAAAAAAAAATGACGTGCTCTCCCCCTTGCCGTGTGAGCGGTCTTGCCTCTGAAAAAGCGATGGGGAACGGATCGTAGCAAAAGTCGCATGAAAGGCACCACGTCGCTCATGGAGGTGCTCAATGCGGTGTCGGGAGGCACAGCTGCGGGGATTGGGACTGTCATTCTTTCCGAGGCAGCGTGCGAGGTGCAGAAGCCGGTGGTTTTATTGTGAAGGTGGCTGTGGCCGCAGGCGATTGTGCCGCTGCAATGTGAAGCCACCAGCGACGTGGAGAATCTCAGAGGGTCCCTGTGACACCCGGGGGCAGAGCCAGTGCGGGCAGGCCGGCCCGGGGAGCGCACGGTGCCGCTAGTCTCCCCAGCGCCGCTTCG